GATTTTCAAACACGTTATTCAAACTGAGCTGGCCAGTTCTGTGGGAACCGGCCTCTGCAGGTTTTTTGCCTGTGCAGTTATTTCAATCGCGTCTTGTGCCAGGGGTTGTTGACTGAGGTCAACTGTCAGTTTTTTGCGTTCATTGTGGCCTCCCCCGGCTTTCGCGACACCTAGTATGTCTAGAGAGGTCGTTTATAAAGTTATGCCAAACCTGAAGAGCCTAAGTAGGGTCTTCCGGATTTCTGAAGTCAGTAGCCATCTGACTTGGAGATTGAATGTTCGTGATGTGTGATGGACGAGACAGTTACTTACTTACTTACTTACTTACGCCTCTTACCCCCAATGGAGCATAGGCTGCCCACCAGTTTTCTCCAACCAACTCTGCCTTAGGCTTCTCTCTCCAGTTCTGTCCAATGTTTGTTCATTCTTCTCATATCTTTCTCTATTTCTCGGCGTAATGTGTTCCTTCACCTTCCTCTTCCCCTTTTACCTTGAGGGTTCCATGTGAGAGCATGTCTCGTGACGCAGTTGTGTGCTTTTCGTAGTGTGTCCTATCCACTTACACCGCTTCTTCCTGATTTCCTCCTACACTGGAATCTGGTTTGTTCTCTCCCACAGTACGTTGTTGTTGATGGTGTCTGGCCAACGAATCCGAAGTATTTTGCGTAGACAGCTGTTAATAAACACTTGTATCTTCTGAATGATGGCTTTGGTATTTCTCCATGTTTCCGCTCCATACAGTAGAACTGTCTTCACATTTGTATTGAAAATCCTGATTTTGGTGTTGATTGATATTTGTTTGGAGTTCCAGATATTTTTCAACTGTAGAAATGCAGCCCTTGCTTTGCCAATCCGTGCCCTCACCTCTACATCGGATCCACTTTTCTCGTCGATGATGCTGCCAAGATATGTAAAGGTGTTAACGTCCTCCAAGGCATCTCCATCAAGAGTGATTTTGTTGGTGCATGTTGTGTTGCATCGGAGAATTTCGCTCTTTCCTTTATGTATGTTGAGACCCACTGCTGCGGAGGCTACTGCTACACTGGTCGTCTTCTCTTGCATTTGTTGTTGCGTGTGCGATAGAAGAGCCAAGTCATCTGCGAAGTTCAGCTGCGTCCTAACTGTCCAGTTGATACCGTGCTTCCCTCCAAATGTTGACGTTTTCATAATCCAGTCGAGACAGTTATGAAGCAATAATTACCATGACGGTGTGAAGCCCCATGCCAGGTGATAGCCATCGCTACTGCTGCACATCATACGAGTGAGCTTCGTAGAAGCCACCGCCAAACAGTTCCGGCAGGACATGAACTACCATACTGGTTTGCTCTTGGGTGCTATGTGATGTCTGGGTAGCTGCTCGTACTGGTTTGTCGTGCCTGACTCGGATCGGAGAGGACAACTTAACGGAGGGTCTCTGGGATGTGGGAGTTGATATCTTCGGAAAGTTTTTCCGAGTCTAGAGTTACCCTCAACAGAGTGGGTTTCCCTTCTGACTTTTGAAAAGACGGCATATTTTGAACGGTTCACTGCACAGTCCGAGGATTGCGTAGTACTTGTCCGATTGTTCTCAATCAATGGCAGCCCGACATTCTAGTAGCTACCCTCCGATACTAGAAGATACAAGTTGAAGAGGAAAATAAGCGAGATGATTTTCAAAGGACGAAAATAATAATTATAAAATACTACACATGATCTTAGCTCAGAGAGCACCTGAATGTTACCCGAAATTTCGGCGTTAATTTGACTGTTTTAGTAGGCGATTTAGTGTGGATCCAGTAACTTTTCCACAAACCCTGTGTTTGCGAGTGAATTAATGTATTTGTACTGTCGAAGAACTAGGAAGACAGAAGTCGATCCAGACAGCTAGATCTACCTCACAGTACTTCTGACTTGGAATAGAAGAGTTTATATATTCATGAATGATCAAATGTCCAAATATGGTGTCGAAAACTGGTTTGTTTCTTGTAAATGATGGGAGGTCAAAGAGTACACGTCAATTTCAAAGCGCGCGGTAAGTTCATCGTCCAAAGTCAATAAATTGTGATTTAATATTATTAACCTGGATAAAACTATGGGCTTATTTTAACAACATCATCATTAGTTAACTGCTTTTTTGCCTCGGTTTCGGTGAGGAGTGAGGTGTCACATCATCGGAAGAATGTTGATAGCTATCAATATCTACTTCCTAAAGAACTGCATTTTCATTCATATGTACAAATAAATCTGAAGAAAAAATGTTTGACGGTTAGGTCAAGCTCGCTTTTTACGAACCTATGTGACATATTCAGTGGGTGATTACTGAACTAAGAATTAATCACAGAAGTTCTATTACTTTATGTACTTCATGCAGTCAGGTTTCAAGATTAACCCTGACAGAAAAATCGCCTCGACATGATTATGTTACTGAAGGATGGAGGTTACCAAACAGAACGTGGCATAACTGAAACGAAATTTGCAACTTTCTTGATTTGACCGCTTCTCGAAGACCCTATGAGTTGTTGACCTGACGCACCAATCGTCTTATGATAGTTTGACCTTATAGTGCTCAGCGACCTCCGGCGATCAAAGATGCCACTAGGTCAACGCTGTGCTGAACCAGTGATTCGTGACTTTGTAACCATGACTTCGAACATAGTGTTGTAATTATTCAAGGTAAGTATTTCATACATGGCATACTACTAAGTGTACTACGCTTACTATAATGAGAATTCTCAGTACTGGAAGCCGTAGAAGTTTTATGTACCAGTCAAAGTTGTTCTATCTTAACCTATTAAGAAATGAAACTTGTGTCCTCTCTATCCCAATCTTTTGCGTGATATTTTTACTGCTGCGTAGGCTGAATCCAGCTCAGTCTATCGAGAGTAATTACTGCATTCGTGTACTAGTTTAATATATTCTGAATATCAGCTTTGATTTCGTGGATAAACCACTTATTTTCCTAATCAAAAGTTCGTTGGTAATGACTGTAGTATAAATAAAAAGGTTTAAGCTAATCTTTCAAAATTATTAGGATTTATGAACTGAGGGAATTCCGCCGAGCACAATCGTTGGAAAAAGTCCACTGGAATTTCATGAAATATTGTGATGAAAACTCGTTGAGAGTTTAGTCCACTATCGCCGTAAATTCACTTTGAGTCGATGTGTCCCCTTCTTAAGTCATACTGACAAATAGTATGTTCCCAAAAGTAGCATATTACAATAGCGGCTTCTGTATATACTATCTGTGGCATGTTTTCCAATAAAGATTGTAACATCTAGACTGGATCATACTGTTAGACCTCAGTTATGGTGCTGAAACTCTCGAATTAAAAGATACATCTGGTCACCAAGTGCCTCTCAATATCTTTCCGTCGGTTATTTTCAAATACGCGAAACTAAGTACATCAATATGCACATCACAGGATGGCAAACGAAAAATTTGTATATAATCATCAGTTTTATATGTGTTTCATATTTGGTAGCATTACTTATATTCAATAAAAATTATTTTGGGAAAGTGGTTTAAATAATTTTCATTATTATTTCAGTAGCAAAATGCCTGATCCTTCCAAATCAGGTAAGCATATTGATAACTTTTTGGTTTCCTTATATTATATGACTGAAAGTGTGTTTCATGTGTTGCCGTTTCATTAAGGAATTATTGAGTTCACTTTCAGTCTAATGAACCTGGGGATCTCGAGTTCTGTTGGTGTAAAGGTAGTTAGTGGTTTTTGTCATCAACACGGTGGAGCAATACTTTCTTGTGAAGCGCCTGATTAGGAAATGTTTTTTACTTTTCTTTACTGCCTGGGAGGGTGACAGCAGAGCCTAGAAACAATTTCTGTGTTGGTCATGTAGCACTTTTGTGTGGAGTACTTGGTCTTTGGAACTCCTATACTCAGAATAATTTCGTAAGGTTTGAAGAGTCTATTATAAAGCGTATAGTTATCTTTGATAGCGAAATACCCACCCTTCTTACACTTTCTACCATCTAGTATTCCTCAGACACATAAATTAGAACAAAAATTGAGAGGGTACATTAAAAATCCCAGTAAATCCGAGGTACCCAGGCGGTGATAAGGAAAATAAAGCTTATGTGGGATTTTCATAAGATTTCTCTAACGGTCCTGATTGATTGAAAGCTGAACCATTCGGGATTTTATCCTGCTAACATCTATGCTAGCTAAGGACTGATGGAACTATGGAGCGGTATTAAGTTTTAAGACAAAATATTCAATTTATAATTAACTTGCGAGGTTTTCTGGTACTCAGTATTAAATACTACAGTAGTGGTTGAATTACACATTCAAGAGCTTTTGTTATTCAGACGTTAATCCAAGCCGTATAAATGTTTTGTTTTTATGTTTTGGTCGCTGACATTCCTGTTCTTGTTACCTCGTTTCTGTAACGACAGTAAGTTACCAGTCCGGCATAATTTTTGATTTATAAACTACTTATAAAATCAGTCGTAGGCAACAGCTTCACAACTGTTCATGTCTGTGGTTGTTTCTACTAAGTTTGAAAATTCAGAAAAGGGATAGCAATATACCTCATTGTTACTTGTATGTCAATAACTCTCTCTGGTAACTTTACTTTTGTTTCTGACTTGTAAAATGTCTGTCTATTCTCAAAGATGACATTAATCTTTGATGTAATTTTGTCTGGTACCATACTAAAGGGATGCTTAATTAACCTTATTTTTCTATTACCTACTAGTTATACATTTTTTTCTGTGATTCTTATTAGTTCAGTTAGTTACGTTATAGTCAGAAAATAAGTATTTCAACCTTCCAACTATCTACTATGCAGCTACTGGGTTGTGTCTAGTTTATTTTCATCTGTTTGTCGCTAAATTTTTGATGATTGTCTAAGTAAAAACAAACAAATTTACAATGTCGTTGCTTTTTAAATAGATCAAGTTTTGTAAACGTTTTTATTTATGATTTTCTTTAACTGTTAAAATTTATATAACATGATTAAAAGATACATAAACTGTTTTCTGAAACCTTTCGTAACTTCAGATACTATAAATTATATTAAGTCTATGAAAATTGAAATAAAGTCATTGTCAGCACGAATAAATTATCTTACACGTTTTGTGGTTCAACAGAAGCGTCAGTTAGACTCTGCGGTAAGCTTCAGTTTATCGTAATAATGCTGTTTCATTGTTATATTTCTGCAAATTTATCATGTTAATTATTTTTCATGGTTTTGCAACTTAGTTTTACTTTATGTAATGCAGCTCATCAGTATGTTATGAGAAAAATTTATTTTATGAGGAAATAATACTTTCTAGCATCATTGCACGAAAGTAGAGGAAATTATGTATTTGACCAACTAATAATATTATTTTCGTATTGTATATATGTGCGTGTTTGACCATGCTGAATTTTAATGACCGTGCTCAGTTACGATTGTTCATGAGAAATCTTGAAGATCATCTCATATGTAAATAATTCTTTTATAAAGTGAGAAAAAGTTAACAACACATATTAGAAATCAGTCCTAACAATTGCCCTGTTATAGACTGAGCTTTGATGCCATCAAAGTTAAGGTTTATGCAACAGATACTTCAAAGATTTTCATGTGTTCCTTGGCATCTCTGATCATAGAACAATATTTACTTACCTACGTCTGTTATCTCTCAATGGAGCATAGGCCGCCGACCAGTATTCTCCATCCTACTCCGTCCTGGGCTTCCCTTTCTAGTTTTGTCCAATTTTTGTTCATTCTTCTCATGTCTGTCTGCATTTCTCGGCGTAATGTGTTTTTTTGGCCTTCTTCTTTTCCTTTGACCTTGAGGAGAACAATACTTAGCATTGATAATCGGGATGACGAATAATGGGATACTGGTGAATTTATTTTACATTGCTAAGTAAATACTATTGTAGGAATCTGTGTATGCATAAGGCTCAAATTGTATAAATCAATTTTTATTAAAAAAATATTTGTGCGGTATTTTTCTGTACTTAAAAAACCTTGTGCTAATGATGAAATCATGACTTTAGATGGATAGTCTCTAAAAATCATATCGGAACGACTTTTTCATAAGTTCAACCGCTTCTTACTGCAGCTAATTTATCACGTATAGGTTTGTGTACTTGGCTTCGAATCACTGTGATGTTCAATGATACTACCCAGGTGGTCAAGTCGAAGTACATGAAGCAGGGTTTGAGCCTGTTATTTACTGAACGAGACTTAAGTGTTTTAAATCACTAAATCACCGCTCTGTTTCTATGGCTGCAGTTTGAATAAGTAAGTCCTATTCATTTTAACTTTGAGGTAAATCATAGTGCATTACTTCTCCCCGTTGTATTGACTTCCTAATTGCGATTAGGTAGAGTATTATCTAATTGATAACTTGGCTACTGTTGCTTATATTCATTACAATAATGATATTTTTATTTTAGTTGAAAAAGATTTCATCTCTGGAGCAGTCTTCTAAATACCCCTTGAATCGATCAATTGGTGTATCTCACTCACCTCAATCTACACGTTCTGTAGGATGTCAAATTTCTCCAGGAACAAACCCTCTTGTTTCTCTCTCTCCTGATGTGAATGAATTATCTTCAAATAGTGAATCATTTGAAGGCTTGAATAAATGCCTTCAACCGTCCAATAGTGTAAACCTACCAAGGTGCTGTACACCTCAGAAGAAACCCAGTCCGTTTGAATCACCTTCAACTCAAAAGTATAGAAATTTGTTTATCTCACTGATAGTTTTTTAAACACTTAAATAATGTAGATTTTGATGTGATATTTTTCCTGCTGCTGGAAGTGCGGTCATCTTTTATTTTGACTACATTGTTTTGTGAATTCCACTTTTAATCAATTGTTACGCCCGCACGTAAACACGTCAACTTGATATGCTTGAACTATTACGGGTTTACATAGTCGGAAAACGAGAGCGAGGATCGAGGATCCGATGACACGGCATGCTACTTTAATCCGATTATCCCAACCCCCATATTTAGTAAAAATAAGACGTGATATGAAGTAGGACCTGTGTTCTACATGCATTCAGAAATTACGAGGTCCGAATCCAGAAGAGAATCAGGATCCCGGACTAGGGATTCGGGACCGAGCCCTGGTCCTGGTTGTAGTCATAAAATGTTTCAGATAATGCGTATTTATACATTTTGGTCGAATAGTAAACAGCATCGAATTCTGTGACATTGATAGTCAGGACAACCAATAAGAAACAACATTGGAGCACGTGACATTGATATCTAGGACGACCATAAAATTGGCCATTAGGAATTAACCAATAGGAATTGATCAATAATTCTCTTGGATATTGGATGAATATCCTAACATCAATATCGCATAGTGAGATTATTAGTGAACGTGTAATAATGTCCGAAAGTGTTTCTACTTTCAATCCCATATTTTCAGAGTAAATTTTCTACTTGCAAACTTTGTCAACTGCTTCGTTGACTATGTTAGCTAAGAAATGTTTAACATACTCTACGTGGTCCATCATTTTTCATTAAACTGTCTAATATAGGATGGAGTAGATTGTCAAAAAGTTAGAACTGGTCAGATGGAGACATTAAATCAGTCCATCAAGCTATAGACTGTTAGGCTTAATCGTGTAAGAAAGTATTGCGATAATCAATGTGCATCACGGGGTTGTGGAGATTGTTAAGTTTTTTTTGAAACCATGGATCGATCAATGTTAGACCACCATTAGGAACCTGGAACCACTGGACGGCCGTTTCGTCCTGGTATGGAACTCCTCAGCAGTGCGCATCCACGACTCCTGCACCCGCAGGATTCGAACCAAGGACCTTCGGTATTGTAGGTGAATTGATCAAGTTAGACATTAACACCGTTAGATACCGGCTCAGTGGTCCGATGGCTAGGCGTTCGCCTACAATACCGAAGGTCCTGGGTTCGAATCCTGCGGGTGCAGGAGTCGTGGATGCGCACTGCTGAGGAGTCCCATACCAGGACGAAACGGCCGTCCAGTGGTTCCAGGTTTCTAATGGTGGTCTAACATTGATCGATTCATGGTTTCAAAAAAAAGATAATCAATGTCTTGAAGCTTCTCTACTGATTTAATTGCTCACATTATTAGTGTTGTAAACGTTGGTTATAAAATTGTTTCATGATTTTCTTTTTCTGACTTTTGTCATTTCACTCCTACCTGTCTTTCGTGATTTTTGACCTCCCTTTATTTTCACATATGTACCAATTTTTACAACGAAATGATGTCGTATAGTCTCTAGTCTTTCTCTTTAATTTAGAGCGATAAGTACATGCCCCTTGTCATTGTCCTCGCTATATTCCATACCGTTGGTCGACTTAAACTAACTGGAAAGCGATCAATGCACTGATTGCCTAATGGTTACATGGTGTCACTTTTTACTACTAGACCTGTTGTCCCAACCCCACTGTGTCTTGAAGACCGGAAAAGCATCCCTCATCTTCAAGTAAACAATGTGGCTGAAAGCCAAACGTATGAGTTTATAGGTAGTGAATAAATTAAATCTTTCTGATTAGTTTTACATTACTTTGAGGTATTTTCATGATGTTTTATATTTGTGTAATGTAGTAGTTAACAACATTCCGTATTTTTTTTGTAGTGGATCTGTAATTTCGCTAAAAAAGAAAAAAAGACGTTCTTCAGTTATTCCAACTGAGTTACGTAAAACAAAAAAAAATATTCTATCCTCATATCAATTTTCAAAGACTCCTGAACGAAATGTACATTGTTCTAAAGAGAGACATGTTCAAGGAAGCTCACAAAAGTATGTTGTCAAAAGTTTATTCAACTTTCATATAATAACTTTGCAATTCAATAGTTTATTACAGATTTTTAATGAGAACTGAGTCAGTATTATGATAGGATTGATGGAACTCTTGTTGAAAATAAAACGTAGCTTCATATTATTTTCGTCTGTACATTGCACTAAAATATATCATTTGAAGAGTGAAAATTATTCCCTCCCTAAATATTTCTGAAGCTTTGTTTATTCAATAAAGAGCCATTAAAAACTGCTTCATTTAAAATCAGTGTACGATACCTTTTGACATATTGCTGTAAAATATTGATGTAAGTTTCTTTGTAATTTGAATTACACAATATACATAATTCAGAAAATTTCACTTCGATCAGGACAATGTGGTAATCAGTAAGTCAGCAACAACGTTGCCGTACCTCATTAGCACAGAAAATCAGTTATGAATTCAAGCTCCTAGCTTTCTTCCAGCCCTTAATAGCACACGAGACCAAATAATGTTGGGATAGAACTCAAAGAAATTCACCTAAACCATCCTTATCTTCCAGATAGTTTAAATATGTTTAACTGATTGATTCGGTGATGTTTAAAGATATGAAGTTTAGTTAAGAAGAAACTCCATTGTAGTTGCCAAACTAAAACATGACATGAAATCAATGACTGTTAGTTTGAGCTACGTTGATAAATGTAAACTGTTTGAATGATTTCCAATTGATTATCATGTAAACATGGCACAAATCCATGAAGTCACTGATGACTGGACTGAGCTATGTTGGTAAGTGTAGGCTACCTGGTTGGGGTTCGAGTGATGATAATAATCGATGATTAGAGACCTAGAATGACATGGCAATGGCGCAAGTACATCCACTCTTTATGTTCTCTCAAATCCCAATCTTCTGAATTCGTCAACACATTTACCTTTGTCTTTCTAAACTTATCTCACTGAATTATACTTCTCGGATCATATCTTCGAACCCTAATTTTCTCCATTACCAATAATACTTCTACTATCTCTACCACTATAGGATTTGAACTGAAAGTTGCATCTCTGTGTTAATGTGGTATGGCAACCTGAACTAATGTACTTACGTACGAAATTCTACGTTGTAATTGACTGACTGGTTATCAAGTCCAACGATTGGAGACATAATTTGAAAGCTGCAACAGTATTCATTAGACATATTCAAATTTTGTCTACTCATATGGATGATCTTAATTTTAAAAATTAATTTGTGCTTTTTTATTTACAATATTAATTATTCTTGAATCATATTCACTCGAAATCACTTTTATTTTTTCTTACTATCAAAGATACTACTACTATTCATACCATTTATTTACTGACTCATCTTGATCGATTTACTTAAGTATTATTACTGATATGATGTGACCAGTTGAACTGATCCATATTTATTTAAAAGGCTTCAATTTATTTATAATTGACAAACTAAGAATATTTTGTTTGATAGTGAAATACAAATCACCTGATAATTTATTATTTACTGAACACTATTATATGCTGACAAAACTCACGTATTCATTTGAGAAAATGATTTCTTTACTTTTTATAAAACATATCATTGGGCAATGAATTGAATTTCTGTAGAAATTTTAGAATTTGATAGTTTTGTTAGTATGACTGATACTTTTGTGATTATTACAAGACTAAATCTCGCTGACATTTGTATTGATTGTGTTGTGAAATGTTCATCATTAAGAATACAAGATTGCTACCTAGATGTGGTCGGGCTTGCCTATCGTGATGACTCAACCGAGCTATAATGGCTGGGACATTTGTTTCTTTAGGTTCTATAATGCCAGGCAGGTCGACTGGAGAACGGTAAGACTAAAAGCATCAACTCAGAATCTGTGAGCGACGTCGTACCACTGCTGACTGTAGAGGGGTGTGGCAGCAGTAAGGTGTTTCTGTCCGACAACCAGCATCTACAACGACGCTGCTTTCTCATAAGGAAGGAAGGGGTTAAGAAAGGTCGACCCTAAAAATTTCACATCTCACCTTGCCTCACGGATTCCCGTCTCCGGCGGTAAGGCTACTTGAAGAGCGGAGCCAACAGTTTGAAAAATATCTATAAAAATGCTGTGCGTGACCGGCCTCAAACAATCGTCCCTTGGTCTCTGTGGCCGCGCTCCCCGGTCTCTAAGACCAACACTAACCTAACTTCCTTTTCAGGTTCCTCAAGAAGTACCGTTCCAAGGTGTAGACAGCTGGGAAGTGACATCCGCCCCTATGCTTGTAACAGCGCACGAGATCAAATTGATCACAATCCAATCCTTCCTACACCTAACATCTCTCTTCTCTCCGCGACATAAGATTGCAGAATACTACACAATTTTCCCTACAAAGGCCTTACTATTTCAAGATACTCTTTTTGAATTTATCATACATTAGTATCAGTTAGTGAGGTGTCGGGAAACAGTTAGTATTAGATATCTAATATCCATCTTAAATGTTTCTACCAGTATGTCTTTTTACATATTTCGTTTCACGTCAAGATTCTGTGCGAAACTAATTCACGCAATACTTATATTCAGTCGTTCTTAAAAAAAAAATAAGACCTGGTATAAATACATACTCACCCAGTCACCCTATTTTCCACATCAACATAGTGAAAAAGAAATTTAATAAAATGTGAAGCAGAACAATTAACAATCCATTTTGTTCAGAAACTAAACATGAATAGAATTTTATAATAAACTATTAGAATGAAACTTGAGTTATACTTTCTAAACATGTTCAAATACTTGCAATATTAATATAGTCGGTATTTCACAAGCGACTTCGCAGTCTGTTAGTGAGACATAGATGGATTAATGCATGACTGCGCTAGCTGCGCGCTGATTGGCTAATTTCCTACCCAATCAGCGCCTGATCGATTCTTGGGGAGCAGGGTAGAAAATTCTCGTGTTGTTAGCTGCATGCTGATTGGCTAAATCTAATCCAGCCGATCACGTGAATTACATTCCAGAAGCTTCTCACGTCAAGACTATAAAGACACTAACGTTGTACTTATTTTGCCTTCGGCTTCGTATTTCCATTTAACCTTGCTATTCGGAATATAATCTTTTCCTGTTCCACCGTGTTTTTGATTCTTTGAAACTTGTCCAGTGTATTGTGGTCAGAGAATACTGAGCAATAGGTATTAGCCGGAAATTATTTAAGCGAGCGTTACAACACAGTCCTTTTATAGATAGTGGTATATATCACCTATGGTACAAGTAGTTCATGTTAGAAAATAAACGGATAAAGTTGTTTGTGTTCATGCGAAAACTTCTTCTTCATCAGCAACACTAGTCACGCAGTTCAATTATAATGTCGAATTCATTTTCAAACATTCCACTCCATAAACTAATTGATCTTCTCAAATATCCATTCTTTTTTTTCTTTGTTTTATAGGCATTCAATCAAATAATGCATATTGATGTGTCTATACACGTTACTTGGCCATTGAATGCATTTCTTTTTTTCTACTACAATATTTCAACTTCTCAGATATGAACTATTGTAAATAGATTATTCGTTGATAGAATTTCAATATTCCATGTGTACAGATTCATAAAGATTAATTTAAAATTAAAAGATTAACAATATATATTTTTGACAAATTCACCATTGATATATGTGTGTGTATCTTTTGATATGAATCACCTTATTGCATGATGTGTCCTATCCCCGATTAATATTCATTTTGAGTTGATGATAATTAAGGTTTGAAGCTCAGGAAAATGATTTCGATGAAGTTTCATTATGAAATGGTAGTTGTCATTCTGGATAGTATTAGCATAAATTTTGGATAGAAGTGAGCTATTCACAAATGCCTTTGCATATAACTGACAGAGTGTCTTTTCAAATTTGATCTGTTGATTGATTTTCGTTGAACTTTGTCTGGACACTGAGTGGGTCATTTGCAGCATAGAATTCGGTACACACGTACCTCCGTCCAAGTTGTTATAGCCCATTAGTACAGAGAGATGAAATCGTCAAGCTGAATCCACGAGTAGTAGAGGTAGTAAAAATGTCAGTGGAGGGGCGACATCGAAGATACGACTCAAGAAACTATCAATCAGTGAAATAAAGGAATAAAAATTATGAGGAATTTAGAAACCTAGGCATTGTTTGTACTGATGATATTTTCTTGAAGGATTATGCAAAGTTCATGAATGAACAATCTGACTGGTAGAGCGAAACTTCGCTGATCAGTACGAGCATTAACACTGGGTCGTAGGCATATTCATTTAACGTGTCTCAAGTAGGATGAAACGCGTGTCCTGGTTTACAATTTTAGCTATTATCTAACTGACTTACCAGGCTGGCTTGTAAAAATTACTTCATTATGAGGACGGCTTTAATCATGGACTATTGTCAGTTCTGCATATAAATAAGGTTTCAAGTTACAATGATCAACAGACGATAAATATTTTCTTACTAATCTTCTAATCAGAAAATAAAACACTTCTTGATAATAAACATTATGTATTTATATAATCTCTACACAGTATGATGAAAATACATATCTCTTCATGTTAATCAATCAAAAAATGTTCTGATTTGTTTTTAAACTAGCAATCCAGTTAAATATTAGAGGTTGCCAATCTTGATCACTTGCAGTTTTAACCACTATCAGTGTACAGTGAATCTATTCATAGTTATTGTTCTTCAATTATCAGAAGATAAATGTACTCTCTATGACTACAGGTATCTTCAAATCATTTTACTGATTTTAAGGTAGCCAAGCCAACAGGAAGAATACAAATCAGCTGTTCGGAATCTCAATTGGCACCAAATTTAAATGGCATAAATATATGTCACTTTCTATCATTATGTACATAATTAGTTCGAAAGATAACAGTAACTTGATTAAAATGTTAAACTCGAGTTAGAAATTGTTAATATTTATCTGTCATTAGAAATTACTGATTAGTAACGCAAGTTAGATTCATTAGCTGAGGTGGACAGTGGCTACCAGTGGGATCCAGTCCACGCTTTTCGTTCTACTTGGCACTTGTCAGTTGGATGTGACAGAATCTCACAGTTGATGTTCACCCCGGTATTCGAACCCAATACCGTTTGTTTCGAATATCATCGCGTTATCTACTGAGTCCATTATGTAAGTAGATGACTATCTGGACTCAATAGCTAAGTGGATAGCGCGATGGCGTTTAAAACAAACTGTATTGGGTTTGAATACCGGGGTGAACATCAACTATGAGATACAGTTACATCCAGCTGACGAGCCCCGAGTAGGACGAAACGCGTGTCCTGGATTCCACTGCTGGTCACTATCCACCTGTGCTAATGATGCTTGTAACCTAAAGGCGATATGGAGGCACTCCGCCTAAGATGCAGATATACTAGAGAGACTGATCAGTTGCAGTCCTAAACATCAGTGGGTTCAAACAACCAAGACAAATGACATGCGGTAGAACTGTTCGAAGAATGACATGAAATAATCCATAATTTGTTACTTTAAAATTGTAATACTTGAAGTTCAACATAGCATAAAACTGTATTTCAGTGCTGAAGCCGATCGAATTTTCACCGCAATTTATGGGCAAGCATTGTCTGTTTACTTATCAACAAGACTTAAAAACTGCGTATTAGTTTTTCCTAGTCTGTTTTATCTAAATCTATACATTTAACTGCCAGAAGTAGATAGACAAATTAGATATAAGCTTATCAGAGAGTTTAGTTATGACTGACTAATTCTGGTCTTACAATAAAATACTCTTTACAGATGAAGATGACTTTTGAATAATTTTTCATAATGACGAAAAGCAACTAAAAATGATAATTTTTAATACAGTCCGTGAGTATTGCAATTGGTTGTTAAAAAGACTTTTTCTAGCATATGCAGTTGAGGAAACCATGTTTTACGAATATCTCATCAAAACAACATGTATTTTAATATCTAATGTTCGGCTGCCTTTAATAAAGAAAAGTATCTTCTAGTTGATTGATGATAAAAGTATTTGAATAAAATTTCACGATGGTCCACACTAAACAACTATATCCTCTTACTTTGGAACTCTTTATAACACTTCTCACTTACAACTGTATTCAGAATTAAACTTAATGCCTTCCTTCAAGTTTCATTGGAAACACAACATTTATCTGCATATTTTATAGTATTGGATAGCTATTTAATCTTAGCATAGGATTGCTCACCACGAATCGAAAGGAAGATCTTCAAATTTTGTTACGAGAACCCTAATCGTTCCGATTACTGCTAATACTTCTGCTACCTCTACTACTATGGGATTTCAATTGACAATTGCGTCTCTGTGCTAATGTAGTATGGTAACTTGAACTGAACGAAGTTCTAACATGTTATTTACTGACTGACTGACGAGAATGCTGAGTGTTAACGTTCATTGATATATGCGTCTAACTTAAATCATTGGTAATGATCAAGTACAAATAATTTAAAGCAGTTAGCTTTTAATTAGGAGAAAATATTATTTGAAATAGTGTAGTTTTGTTTCGCTTTACTAGAAAATTATCTCTGATTTTCTTCACATTGTAGATTCATTGATATTCCTAACACCAGCCTATTTGAACACTATTCATCGTAATGGATTCTTCATCGTCTAAATCACAAGGTAAGGAACTTTATTGTTTGTTTGAAATTTCTTTGTTGTATTAGTATTGTAGTGAACGAGAACACAGGTGGGGAAACCGGATTGTATTTAACGAAAATTACAGAGTTACTCAGTAAAATTGGAAAACCATATCGTAAATTGTTAATATGCAAAATATCAGTTCATCATATCGAACTGGACTGTTCCTGTTGCAAAACATCAATCCATTATCACTGTTCATGTGTTTCATACAAATTCCATTGTGTTCTAACTCTTCCTTTCTTGATCTTCCCCCATCTTCTGCTGCCAGAAATTACGTTGACTGTCACGTCATATACTACTTATAAGTAGCTCGCACCACACTCGTCCCCCCTTTTAATAAGCTGTCGTCACTTTCAAAACAGGGACCCTGGTCAGTTAATATCACCTTCCGTATTCCATGACGCGCTACAGTATGCCGGATTACTATTTCGGTCATTGTTCTTGCCCGCTGGTCTGTAATGGGTACGGCATCTATCCAACGTGTAGCGTCTACTAGTTCCCGCTGCTGGGACACGGCGGCAGGCACACTCTCGATAAATTGCGACGCCAGCAACTGTGCCCCCGACTCCCCATCCATATTCGGCAGAGCACGGCGCAGCAACATCGTGAGCTCCACAGCCAGCACCAACGGGTCACCATCAGCCGACAGCCCCGCCAACCGGAACCTCTGCGGCGCCCCCCTGTCCACCGGGCTGTCGAACTCCGTCATCGGCCGCACGGTGACCGTCTCCCACTCCGTCTTCCCGGTGGCACCGTCCAGACTGTCGTATACCGTCTTCGCCTCACCTCCCGGCAGCGTCCAAACCACCGCCAACTCCGCCCCGGGCCCCTTCACGCCCACCAGCTCCACCGCGGCCTCAAACTCCTCCAGGAAGCTCCGCAAATCTCCGTCCTCCAACACCTTCCTTCGAGCAGGCAGCGACACCAAATGTAGTGAACGAGAACACGGGTGGGGCAACCGGATTGTATTTAACGAAAATTACAGAGTTACTCAGTAAAATCGGAATACCAAATCGTAAATCGTTAATTTGCAAAATATCAGTTCATCATATCGAACTGGACTGTTCCTGTTGCAAAACATCAATCCATTGTCACTATTCATGCGTTTCATACAAATTCCATTGTGTTCTAACTCTTCCTTTCTTGATCTTCCCCCATCTTCTGCTGCCAGAAATTACGTTGACTCTCACGTCATATACTACTTATAAGTAGCCCGCACCACAGTAGTAGTTAATTTCTCCAAATTTTTCTTCATAATGTTCAAATGTTGTTTTTTGTGTAGAATGTGTTTATTTTTTCATTGAATACTATGTACTTGATAATTTACCCATAAAGCATCAGTTCTTAACTGAAGCCTATCGACTGATCATTCTTACTTCCAGTATGATGAATTTATTTTATTTGATGAAGAAATGATTGATTTTTAATGATTGTTATTTCATTTGAAAGAAGTCCTCACTTCAGATTGATATCAGCTTATTATAACTGCAAAACTGGAATTAAAAAAACAAGGCGGTTACAGGGTTGTGCTTGACTCAAAGATTTGATAACATTAATACACAAAAATGCAGATTTGTATTGGTATTCGATAATTTTTCACTAAATATCTTCCTGAAATGAAAATAACGGGAATATAAAATGAATTTTGGCACTAAATTATTGCATAAGCATAGTGCATGTTACACTCAGGGAATATCACACTAAATCAACACTAAAGTACAGTAAAAAATATTTCGTGAAATCCCAATAAATAAGAAATTAAACTTTCCAACAGTTCATTATCTAGTATGAACGACTTCTTTAGAGAATAAATAAATAATTAACAAATTAGCCCACGTTTGAATAGGACAAAGAAACAAAGCAACAATGTTTAGTACAACCAATAGGAAAAAAACAGGTCTGATTGAGTTAGTGTTATGTCACTCCGGTCAAGGTGATTTTTGGGAGGCATGCTTGTATCATTGTGCAGGCTAATGAGTGTAAATAATGTGATAGCTGTATGTGTGATAATGGTGCATAATGTGAACAGAATGAGATACAGTGTCTGGGATAAATGGTCCAATTAGAATAGATAGTCAGGTTCTCTTTTCTATTGAGGGCAATAATACTAAACAATTTAGGTAAGGCTTTAGCTACTTGCCTGCATTTATAGGTTGGTAACGCCTTTCTGTAATATTTTGATATTTTTAATACCAATAGAATGATTGATTATTAAGGATAATATGGATTGCTATTATCTACTTTTTCAAAGCTCTATTGGATTATTAAGTCGTTTTTTTTAAATGTAACTCAAATGTCCTCTGGCTCCAGTCCAAGATTTTATGAGATGATCACAGAAAGAACAGAAGAAAATTAGCAATATGATTTATTTGCTGATAATCTCTTAAACAGAAATCTAAGTAACCATGAAATCACTCTACTAGAGAAGCCAAATAAAAACATGACAGAAATCCATGAAGTCACTGACAAGTGGACTGGGTCATGTCGGTAGTTGTCGACTACCTGATTGGGGCCCGCTAGATGATAATAATCGATGGTTAGAGACCCTGAATGACATGACTCAAAACCGTTTGCAATGGCGCAGGTGCATCCACTATTTGTGTTCTCTCAAATCCTAAACTTTTTATTTCCTCATCACTTTTTGTTTTTAAGTTTATTTCACTAGATTATTTTCTAGTCCCAATCTTTCTGATTACTGCTAATACCTTTACTACCTCTACTACTATTGGATTTGAATTGACAATTACACCTCTGTGCTAATGTGATATGGCAACATGAACTGATGTACATACACACGAAGTTCTATGTTGCTATTGATTGATCCTGCTACAGAGAGAACTAGGTTCCATATGTACATAGAAAGCCACTTAGCACTGTAAAAGTTGTTCGAATTACAGAACCACTAATCGAACAAGTACGGGAAAAAATAGATTCATTTATTAGGTCAGTAAACATCTCATATTATAACAGAACAAAAACCTTTTCCGTGCAACATTTTCACTATGAAAAGACAAAAAGTTGATAATTGACAAAGTCGAACAAGATAATACAATTTTAGTCATGAATAAAAAGGATTTATGGCGCGGAAGTTTTTGAATATCTATCCACAGGATCATATTCAAAGATTGATCCAGAAAAAAATCTTCAAATGGTTAGAAACAAAGTCGAATCAGAAACAATTCAACTTTTGAAAGAACTGTTAACGACTCGTCCCGTTCTAACATTTTTGTAACCGGATGAGTATGAGTAGGTTTTTTTGTCGAAAGAGCTTAACTTGACGATTAGTATTCTTTCTTCTTACCACAGATGATAAACGAGTTCAAAATCAAGCAAGACTGATGAATTGTTTCGATTACGTAAAGCAGAGCAATTTCTTCATCCGCCAGTGACCAAACTTGTTGACATATATATATATATATATATATATATATATATATATATATATATATATATATATATATATATATATATATATATATATATATATATATATATAGTTCAAACCACCTTATATCACTCATTTCTTTGTATCACGTACTGAATTAACTTTTCATATATATATAACTAAATACCTTGTGAATGACTTAAACAGTTTGACAGCAGATATGAATTAAACTTATATATTTTCCCGTACTTTGGACCACGAACTGATTTAAACTAGACCATCATTAGTTACGTGAAAACACTGGACAATCGTTTTGTCTTAGTATGGGATTCATCAGAAGTTCTCATCTAAGATTCCCGCAAGTGGGAGTCGAACCAGGGGCGCGCGCGAACGCTTAACCTTTAGGTCACTGAGTCGATATCTATTGGGGTTAGTGTCTTATTTCAATCAATCTTTGATTCTGTCCAACTTTCATCCATTGCCTGTGTAGACAGACAGACAGACAAATACAACGCAGAACTTCGTACGTAAGTACATCAGTTCAGTTTATCATACCACATCAGCACAGAGAGGCAACTGTCAGTTCAAATCCAAGAGTGATAGCAATAGTAGAAGTATTAGCAGTAATTGAGTAGATTAGAGAGCGAAGATATGATTCGAGAAGTATAATTCAGTAAGATAATTTTAGAAGGAGAAAGATAGAGATTATGAGGAATTAAGAAGGTTAGAATTAGAAAGAACACAAAGAATGAATCCACCTGCTTCATCGCAAACGATTCTGAGCCATGTCGTTCAAGGTCTCTAACCATCGGTGACTTTCGTCTCGCGGACCCCAACCAGATAGCTTACACCTACCAACATGACTCAGTTCACTTGTCAGTGACTCCATGGATTTGTGCCATGTTTTGGTCTGGCCGCCCCTAGCTTTCTTCCAACCTACATAGGATAACTCCCTCTTACTCGACACGGATAGTCTAGCTTAAATCATTTCATGATTTCAACTCTTAAAAAAAAATACAATCTCTACTTCTCTTCTTCATTAATATTTTTATATAATTATATTTTACAGAAATACAACAATCATTAAAAAGTCTTAAAAAGAATATTGATTCTATCACAAAACAGATTAATGAATTAAATCATGAACGTGAAAAATTACAAGCGAAATATAATGAAGTAATATTCATATTTTACTTTATCAAAATTTGTATTGTGTTGTTTTCATGCTTCTCAAATATCTTATTTTATTTAAACTAGTCATTATATGTAACAATCAATATTTCATTTTGTATAAACTCATTATCCAAGTATATAAGTGCACATATTCTCTTATCTTATGTACATGCGCTGGTTATAATAATCAGTCATTCAACCTGAAGTCAATGAAATAAGGTTTTGATGGTTAGAGTTGGTTGGAAGTAGTCAAGGAGGAAACATTGAATCTATGTTGTTTGTGAGTTGGCACTTAATAGTAAATTGTACTTGCAAATTGATGAAACTGATGTTCTATGTAGGTAAGAACCGGTTACCTGTTAATAGAAATTTAAGGAATTAATGTTTAAAATATTTGAATTTTCAACCAGAAAGTAAGGAATTTAAATCTCATCCAACCTATTTTAAGTTTAGACGAGCGCCCTCACAAAAACAGTGTAATTCGAAGTTGTGCATGTAAACCAATATTTGGGAAATAATCACATCAAGTAGTCAACTTTGAGAAATTCAGTACTTTCTTAGAAACTGATCATTGTGTTATCCAGGATTTTAGTTTGAAATCTTAATAAGATGTTTTTTCACTGACATGAACATAAAATAATTGGGATCATCGAATATGAATTTCGACCTTCATCAAGGATCGTCGTTAAGAGTCTAATTGACTACTTTTTGTTGGGGATGTTAGATCCCCAGAACTCATTTGGAAAAGGTCCTAATTTTGGATTTTTTGTTTTCGTGCATAAGTTGCTCGCTCAACCTTGAGATTACATTTCCCACTCGGGAATTCCTTGACTGTCATTGGTTGATGGGTTATTTTAGTACGTTATTGTTGTGGCTCTCCCAAGGACATTTCTAACACCTATAAATAAGCTTGATTTGTGTGCTTGTCAACTTCAGATTTTCTGGGTGCTTGTAGAATACACTTTCTACGCAATATCAAGACTTCTTGATATAGTTAGCCGGGTTGGAGACAAACGGATTAGAATAGCCTATCGTGTCACTGCATCATTTGTCTTCGCACTCGTTAAGCGAGTAAGGTGAACTCGTAATAGCATATCAGTTGACGAGCATATCACTTTTGTTCAACAAATTGTAGATTTTACTTCGTTATCAATTGTTATATTAAACTAGATGTTGTCACATGTTAATACTATTTTAATGCTTTCTAAACTACGTCTTATTTTGAAAGAGATTACTTGGTCGTTTTGATATTTGATAAATTTCGATTGTGAAAGAAACTTAACGAATTTTTGAGCTGACTTTAGTTAGATAACCATTGTAAACCATGAAGTACATTGGTCTACCGTTTGTCAACAGCAACCGAACCCCCATAAGCATTAATAATCATTATTCATATCATTATACTCAATGGTTGATGGATGACTAGTAATCAGTTTTGTATATAAAATTTCTATTTCTATTGTAATTTATAGTTAAAATCTCAATTGACTACAGCTCGTGTACAAGAAATTTCCAATTCTCAAAGTGCATCATCATCTGAATACAATGCTGAAGCATTATTTCCATGGACTTCAGAAGTGAATCGTGTAAGAAAAGAGATTTTTCAAATATCTGAATTTCGTCCTTTACAAATAACAGCAATTAATGCACTCTTAGATGGTCGTGATGTAATTTTAGTAATGCCTACAGGTAAGTAGGTACATTTTAAAATAATAACTGGTATTCGTTTCTGATTATTAAGTGTTTAATCGTATACTTTACCGACAAGAAAATTCTATATTCATTTCATGGAAAAAATTAGTTTCTATCATGAAATGATATTATTTTAGACAAAAAAGTACTAACTAACTACAGACAGACAGATACAACGCAGAACTTCGTATGTATGTACATCAGTTCAGGTTGCCATACCATATCAGCACAGAGACGCAGCTGTCAGTTCATATCCAACAGTGATAGCAGTAATAGATGTATTAACAGTAATGGAGAAGATTAGAGAGCGAAGATATGATTCAAGAAGGATAATTCAGTGAGATAAATTTAGAAGGAGAAAGATAGAGATTATGAGGAATCTAGAAGGTTAGAACTAGAGAGAACACAAAAAGTGGATACACCTGCGCCATTGCAAACGATTCTGAGTCATGTCATTCAAGGTCTCTAACCATCGGTGACTATCATCTCGTCTAACTAACTAAATTGATTCGTCAATTTAAAAATTTTAGAATCATGATTCGATCAATGTTAGACCACCATTAGAAACCTAGAAGCACTGGACAGCCGTTTCGTCCAGTGATTAAGCATTCAGGTTGTGGGTTTGGTTTTCGGGAGCAGGAGTCCTGGACGCAAACTACTGACGAATTCCATACCTGAAAGAAACGGCCGTCTAGTGCCACCAGGTTTCTAATGATGGTGTGAAATTGAATGATTTATAATTTCAAAGTAAGTCAACAATCTCCACAACTTACTTACTTACGCCTGTTACCCCCAATGGAGCATAGGCCGCCCAACCAACTCTGTCCTGGGCTTCCCTTTCCAGTTCTGTCCAATTTTTGTTCATTCCTCTCATATCTTTCTCTAATTCTCGGCGTAATTCGTTCGTTGGCCTTCCTCTTTTCCTTTTACCTTGAGGGTTCCAAGTGAGAGCTTGTCTTGTGACGCAGTTAGGTGCTTTTCGTAGTGTGTGTCCTATCCACTTCCACCGCTTCTTCCTGATTTCCTCCTCCATTGGAATCTGACTTGTTCTCTCCCACAGTTCGTTGTTGCTGATGGTGTCTGGCCAACGAATACGAAGTATTTTGCGTAGACAACTGTTAATAAACACTTGTATCTTCTGGATGATGGCTTTGGTAGTTCTCCATGTTTCCGCTCCATACAGTAGAACTGTCTTCACATTTGTATTGAAAATCCTGATTTTGGTTTTGTTTGAAAGTTGTTTGGAGTTCCAGATATTTTTCAACTGTAGAAATGCAGCCCTTGCTTTGCCAATCCGCGCCCTCACATCTGCATCGAATCCACCTTTCTCGTCGATGATGCTGCCCAGATCAAGTGTGATTTGGTTGGTGCATGTTGTGTTGCATCGGAGAATTTCGCTTTTTCCTTTATGTATGTTGAGACCTACTGCTGCAGAGGCTGCTGCTACACTGGTCCTCTTCTCCTGCATTTGTTGTTGCGTGTGAGATGGAAGAGCCAGGTCATCTGCGAAGTCCAGATTGTCCAGCTGCATCCCAACTGTCCAGTTGATACCGTGCTTCACTCCAGATGTCGACGTCTTCATAATCCAGTCGATGACCAGGAGAAAGAGAAAGGATGAGAGTAAGCAACCTTGCCTGACACCGGTCTTCACCTCGAACGAGTCTGTTAGTTGTCCTTCGTGTATGATTTTGCAGTTGAATCCATCATAAGAATTCCGTATGATGTTGATTATTTACTCAGGCACACCGTAGTGTCGAAGAAGCCTCTACAGTGTTTTCCTATCCATGCTATCCTATGCTTTCTCGTAGTCGATGAAGTTGATGTAGAGTGGTGAGTTCCATTCAATTGATTGTTCCACAATGATCTGTAATGTTGCAATTTGGTCAGTACACGATCGATCCTTACGAAATCCAGCCTGTTTATCTTGAAGTTAATCTCCACAACCCTATGATGAAAATTTAAAAATCCCCATTGAATATTCAAAAGTAATGAGTATTACAGCGATCTATTATTTTCGACAACTTCTTCATTAGACAACGTGAATTGATGTATATACGTACCAAGTTCTATGTCGATAATAACTAACTGACTGACTGACAGCAGCCATTTTGTATTGAGTTTTTTTTTGACTTACGATTTTAACTTAGCGGTTAAAATTGATCATTTTCATGAGAACATTTAATTCTTTCTTATTTGTTTATGTGTATAAAATCTTTTCTTAATAGTACGAGTGATGTGATATTATTGTTATTCTGTTAGTAAATTTTTTTAAGTACATGATGAGAAGACTGAGGCAGGCGCGATAGATTGTATTTAGCCAATTTACACTCTTAGTCAATTATAAACGAAACATTACATTGAACACTATATTTGCACACCATCTTTGATTCCTGACTTCCAACGCTCCAGCCTTCTTCCATTCCTGCTGTTGCTTCCTTTACTTCCTGTCGGTACTCCATTTACTTCTTGTTTTTGCTCCATTTGCTTTCCGTTTTCCTCTTCTGACCGTGAGAGTTCTTCTTTCACGTCTCTTCTCATACTACTTATATCGTTCGTATAAGTAACACACACCACACATAAGACTTAATCGATATGAAAATTATCGTCATTTATCAGTTCAAAATATAGATTAAGGTAACTTTAATATTTTGTCTATTTGTAATACAAAAATAATGATATTGAATGAATTAATTATGTTGAATCTGATAAAGAAGTAAGTCATCAATAATGATCATGCACTTTAAAGTGATTTGTCACAAATGGTTAAAAGTTAATTTATAAATCTTTTTGTAGAGTACAAATCCTAGATTTCCGTTGGATACTGTAAACTTTTGTCAGTATAGTATTTGATTTTTTCATTATACAGTTTTGAAGATTGTTATTTTTCATTGTTAGACCACCATTAAGAACCTGGAAGCACTGGATAGCCGTTTTGTCCTAGCATGGTACTATCCAGCAGTGCGCATCCATGACCCCCGTTCACGGGAATCGAACTTAGGACATTCGGTCTTGCGCGTGAACGCCTGACCTCTAGACCACTGAGATGGCATTCAATGGTGTTAATGTCTAACTTTGATCAACCCAAGTATTTTGAGCAACTTCAATCATTGTCTTCAGTAGTTACTGCCTACACCCGACAGGGTTGAATTCCAGTGGTCATGGCTTCTCACTAGAACCTGGCAAAGAAGCTATCAAAAATGATCATACGCTTTGAATTGACTTGTTACAAGTAGTTTTGTTTTTTTTTCCTTGAAGCAAAGCTTAATCATTTATTTAAAAGTCAATTCTTATATCTTTTTAAAGCAAACATCCTGCAATTTTCACTGGAAAGTGTAAACTTTTGTCAGTATAATATTTGACAGCATAATAATTGTATGCCACTGATTTGATCAAATAACAACTATCAATATGACATTAATATTACTTGAAAATTTAAAATTTGATCCGAAATACGGTAAAATGTTTAAAAATTATTATATGAATAAGGCATAAATTGTATGATCATCCTCTCAAGCCGTAACTTAAACATACACAAAATGATATTTGATTTTCTATCGACTCTTCACCATATAAAAGTGACTGATTAAAAGTGTATAACCTATAAGTGGTATAAATTACTTTTCCAAGTTATTTATTTTCACACATTGGAATCATGAACTGATCACTGTTAGATCACAGTTAGCATCTTGGAAACACTTAACGGCCGTTTCGTGCTGATGTGCGACTCATCAGCAGTGCACTTCCGCGACTCCTGCTACTCGCAGGATTCGAACCCGGGACCGAAGGTCCTCTGATTCAGCATTCAAGGGTGTGGATGTCTAACTTTAATCAATCTCTAATACCATGAAACCTCATCCACAATAGTCTTCGTTAGTCACTGTCTACACCCGACAATGCTGAACTCCACAAGTCACGTCTTCTTTCATAATTAAATGCTGCTTAGTGAAAGAATAGACAAGCGTTTTTGAATGATCGATACCACATTTGTGTGGGATGTTTTTTCGATAACTACACTTTTAATATCATTAAAGTTTATGAACTAATTGTCTTCATACACCATTCTTCTAACCACTGTACAGTTTCATACTGATCTATACATTACTTTCATTGCGGTCAGTCAGTTAGTCAGTCAGATGCAACGTAGAACTTCGTACGTAAGTACATCAGTTCATGTCGCCATACCACATCAGCACAGAGATATAATTGTCAATTCAAATCCAATATAAGAAGAGGTAGTAAAGGTATTAGAAGTAATCCGAGAGGTTAGGATTAGAAGATATTATTCAAGAAGTATGATTCAGTGAGATAAAGTTAGAAGGACAAAACTAGAGGTGTTGAAGAATCCAGAAGATTAGGATTTGTGAGAACACAAAGAATAAATGCACCTTGCGCGATCGCGAACGATTTTGAGCCATGTCATTCAAGGTCTCTAACTATCGATTATTATCATCTCGCGGACCCCAACCAGGTAGTCGACAACTACCAACATGACTCAGTCCACTAGTCAATGACTTCATGGATTTGTGCCATGTTTTGTTTTGGCCTCCCCTAGCTTTCTTCCAACCTATTCCTCCACTACAAAACGAAGGTCGTCGAGGCAGTCGGTGGTTAGGCATACGTAACACATGTCCCAACCACCTCAACTGATGAAGTTTCATTACTTCATCTATTGACCTGCCATTCTTACCTAGCACCCGTTTCCTAATAACAGCGTTGTTCACTCGGGTGTCCCAGGATGTAAGAGCAATGCTTCGAAGACACCTATGATCAAAAACCAGTAACCTACTAATATCTTCTATTCATTACAGCTTCACTGATATTGTTCCTGAATGGCGTAAACTTCCCAAGATATATATATATATATATATATATATATATATATATAACGCTGTGCTAATAAATGAAATATCTACTGTAATTTCAATTTATTTCTCTTTTCATAATATTTAGGTGCAGGCAAAAGTTTAGTATATCAATTACCTGCATTAATTAATATTAATGCTTTCAAAGTGAATGGACAATGTCGTGGTTCAGTGACATTAGTGATTAGTCCATTGGTTTCATTAATGATTGATCAATCGATCAACTTGACCAGATATCATCTTGAACCAGATACAATAGCAGTTTTAGATGCGAATACACCATTACCGGAACAACGTCGAATTCTTTCGTTACTTGCAGAAAAACCAGTTAGTTAATTAATCTATTATTATTATTATTATTATTATTATTATTATTATTATTATTATTATTATTATTATTATTATTGATACTGATGTTGGTCCACTAAAGTTCTTAATACTTGTGTAGTGAAGGAGAACACAGGTGAGGGCAACCGAATTGTATTTATCTCGAATTACAGAGTTAATTGGTAAAATAGGAAAACCGTATCGTAAATCGTTAATTTGCTAAATATCAATCCATCATATCGAACTGGACTGTTCCTGTTGCAAACATCAATCCATTGTCTGGCATTTCACTGTTCATGCATTTCATACAAATCCCATTGTGTTCCCGCTCTTCCTATCTTGATCTTCCCCCATCTTCTGCTGCCAGACATTACGTTTTCACTCGCCTCATATACTACTTATAAGTAGCGCGCACCACACTTGTACGATAGCACCACGTCGTTGAGCTGTGATGTCCATGTCGTGTAAAAGCCTGGACCGGTGTCTTTGGTTCTTTCGATAACCATGACAAAATTTCCCTCTTACATGGTAGATTTATAATTGTGATTTTTTTATCGATATAGTTTTACAGTTTAATTCGAGTAAGAATTCAAAGTAATTGTTTTTTTGGTATGACGCTAGTCTACTATCAGAAACAATGTGACATCACTTCAAGTTTCGATGTTTCGTAACAGATTAGGCAAATGACAGGGAAATCGAGTTAAATATGAATGGTAGATTGTTTCATAGTTTTACACTGTCATACATGGCATCCATCCTACAATTCAAAAGGCTAACATGAAATCGTTGTATTATATTTCACATACATTTTTTGATGTTGTTCTATTTCAGTAAGAATTTTTAAATTGGTTTGTTGTTACTAATCATCCGATCATTCATTGCCAACATTGCACTCTAAATGGATTTCACCATCATCGTGAGCAAGGTGATCTCATGTACTTTCGGAAGAATGAGGGCCAGCTGTTACTTTATTAATGCCCATACCGTGTAAGGATACTATTTTTGAGGGACTTAACGAAACTTGGTTAGAGGATAGCCTTAGTATCTTAGGAACCGTTACCTCAGGGGTCAAGGGACAACAGCCTCAGTTCGCTTACATATATACTTTTTATGGGAGTTTTTGATGCGTTAGTTCCGTACTTTAGAATTCCTTATCGCTAGAAACCGAAATTGATGGGGTAAGTTGATGTGGAACACTTTTTAGGACTAACATTTCCTAATTTCTTCCTTCCTTTGTAAAAAGTCAACATCGCTACAGATTCTGCTTGTCTGGAAGAAACATCTTACTTCTGTTGCACCGCTCTACAGTCAGCAGTGTGACTCTACCCCCCACACCTTAAGTTCCTGCTTTTAGTCTTACCTTTCTGCAATCGACCTGCTTGGAATGGTAGAACCTAAAGAAACGTATGTCCCTGTCAATATAGCTCGGCTTGAGTCATCACTATAGGCAAACCCAACCACTATGTCAAGGTATCAGCTACTGACATGATAAGTGTGCTTTACTTCTAGTTCACATACTTCTCACATTAACATGTACAGTGAAAATTAACAAAGCAACAAATTAATGATACTAAATTCAAAATTCTCAGAAAGATGGGAAATAAATATAACATTTAGCTACTGTCATTAGTTTTATAGCATGTCACCCGACTTCTTCAACCTATGGTTGACGAGTACTGTGTGGGGCATAATCAAGAAAATTGTCACTTTTCGACATGGCTTGTTGGAATTACCTTATGTGATACGCCTATGCAATCATGTGAATATTAGAGATATTGTCTTTTTCCTGTCAATAATTGTGTACTAATTTTCCAGAGTTAATTATAACCACGGAAGGTCATTTCTTGAGGAACCTGAAAATGCACTCGGGTTAGCATTGGTCCGAGCAACTTAGGAGCGTAATCGCAGATCCCAGGGGGCAATTGTTTGTGAAAAGTGTTTTTCTACTTAAAAGTCCCACTGTACTAACTGATTGATTTATTGATTTTCTAACCCTGTTACCGATCATCTTATTCGCTTGTTTGAGTTCTTAAAATACATTCCTCTTGTATACAAAATCATCATAAGCAACAATTGAGCTTAATAAATTTTCGAGTTAAATGATGCTTGCTATCGCTGAATTTATGGACTGGTGCTATGTGTTAATATATTCACCTGTGAATTTTCCAATTCACTTTCATATTAACCAACATTCCACATCGTTTCAGGCTATGTTCTTTCTTATACACGAAGAACAGTAGTAGTCTCATCTTCCTTTTACTTTTACAATCATTTATCCTACAATTATATAATTGAAAACAATAAAGCTAAAAATTTCTCCACTTACAAGCGGTTACTTTTTCTTCCATTAGAATACTTCACTAGATCCTTTGGTTATTTTTCCAATAATCGATAATATATTTATGTAGCTGTCGCCATCATACACTTTTTGATTACCTCATCAACAATATTGATTAGTTAGTAAATTCTCATATTAATTTTCTGAAAACATAACTGTTTATTGAAACGTGTTAATAATTTTAGAACGATCAGTTACTTCTTAATTTCAGATAGGACGTACTGAGAATAAGTTATGGAGAACGCGTTATAAATCTCTCTTAGTAAACCCAGCTCTTCCTATTGCATAGTATTCTCTGACAACAATACACTCGACAAGTCCCCAAATCAGAACACGGATGAACAGGAAAAGACTATATTCCAAATAGCAAGGTTAATTGGAAGTAAGAAGCCGAAGCGAAGGCGAAATAGAAACAACGCTAGTATCTTTTTATAGTTTTTACATGAGAAACTTCTGGAATGTAATCCACGTGATGGACTAGCGCTGATCGATTAGATATAGCCAATCGACGTGCAGCTAACTCAGTCATGCTTTATTCCATCTATGTCCCACAAACACCTCCCCTTTGAGCAGATTCATAGGATCCGGTGCTAGGGTCTAACTGCTTCCTGGGTGCCTTGTCCCCCGTACTCTTACGAGCCGCCTGCTTTGTAGGAGCCATATCTGTGAACAACCGTCGATTGGACTGCTTCCCGATCAATAAGTTTTGTTGAGGCTCAAGAGCAGCAAATGGTACAGGACGTCTCGGACGTAAAATAGGTTTGTCATTCGATTTCACTAGTAAGTGAGCTTCCATTTTGGCGCAGTGACCGAGGCTGTTCTGAAAAACAGAGGCTGATTTCCTCTTCAATTTATCTTGTAACCTTTCACCTGTCTTCTTTGTAAGTATTGGGGTGTCCAATGATGAACACGACACGCTGCAGACACTGTTAATGGGTAAATCCATTATTCCCAGTTTTTCTAGCATATCTAGACCAAGAAGATCAAGGTTTGGCCGTTCCGTTAGACAACATATTCCTGTATATTTTGTTCCGTTGAAGCAAAATTCACACTGGAACTCACCAACCAGTTTTAACACACCACCTGAAGCACATTTAGCTGTTTTCTTAGATGGCTTCATTGGCGGTTTCCCCAGCAAGCTATATGTTTCTGTAGACACTAAAGTGATATCTGATGCCGTGTCAATTTGAAGACGAGCTGATATGCCGTTTATCTGGATTGTAATATACTTTCTCCGAATGTCATAGTCTGTTTGAAAGGCAGCTACCAGAGAAAGATATTTAGACTCGGCTAATTTCACCTTATGTCGAGTACGTTTATGCTTCTTCCTGGGTTGAGACGTACGATTCGGTAGACAATGGCCTTCTTTATGTCCACGTTTGTTGCACATCTGACATTTATGTTTCTTAAATGGACAGAATCGTACATAATGCCAATCTCCACATAACCAACATGCAGTCGATGGTTTGTTTTGAGAGGTTATCGACTTCTGAACTTTTAACCCAGTAACAGTATTGACACCACTGCCGGTTAAATTAAGATTTACCTGTTCAATCAACTCGTCTCGTCTGATGCTTTGTAGCCGCTTACATTCATCTGTCAATGTTATGAATGTGACGTTAGGGTCTTGATCCAGTCGAGTTAAAAGTTTAGTCCTAATCTCAGCGTCTTGCGGTGACTGAAGAGCTTTGATGAATATTAAGCATTTAAATTGGTCTTCTGTCAACGAGTGTAACTTGAACCGTTCGCATTTTCTGTTGACGATGTCTGCTAGGACTGCATATTCATCATCTTCGTGTTTCACCAGATTCAGACACTGATATCGAATACTAAACAATGAGGATGATTCACCGAATATCTCTGACAGTTGAATTACCGTCTCCTCGAAACTAAGCTCTCGAGGTAACTTTGGAAATATATGGTCTGCATAACGAGCATGTTCGTTGCTCCCCAACTTACGCACCAACAATTGAGTCTTCCACGCGTCGTCTTGTTTACCGAATTCTATTTTAAATGTATCTTCCCAACGTTTGAACCACGTGACAAAGGTATTTCCACTTTCAGGATCATAGATGAATTCTGGTATGCTGCTAGCAACTGCTTCATAAGACGTATTTGAAGTAGCATATAGACTCGAGCATTGGATGTTGAGCTGTTGAGTCAGAGTCTCCAACAACCGCATTTGTGCATCTAATTGTGCTTGATGTTGTTGTAGTATTCGGTTAAGCTGGTCATCTGATATAGGCATCTTGAATTTTTTTTCCTTTTTCTCTTTCGCCACTGTTATAAATCTCTCTTAGTAAACCCAGCTATTCCTGACAACAGTACACTCGACAAGTCCCCAAATCAGAACACGGATGAACAGGAAAAGACTATATTCCAAATAGCAAGGTTAATTAGAAGTCAGAAGCCGAATCGAAGGCGAAATAAAAACAACGTTATTATCTTTATAGTTTTTACATGAGGAACTTATGGAATCTAATCCACGTGATCGGCTAGCGCTGATCGATTAGATTTAGCCAATCAGCGTGCAGCTAACAACAACACGAGTATCGATCTCCCAGTATCGATCAGGCGCTGATTGAATATGAATTAGCCAGTCAGCTCACAGCTATATCAGTCATGCTTTATTCTATCTATGCCCCACTAACAGAACGAATATTCAATCATTTCATTTTTTTATCTGTTACTACAAAGTTGTACATTGTAACTGACTGAGTAGCTTAATAATATTGCATGGAGACTACTAATGAGACGGCCTGTGTGTGCAGTACAATTCATGCTAAATGAACCTGTTTGTTAAAGGTTGATTACCTAATTTAATCAACTGCTACATATTGACGAGGTTTGAATTCCGGAAATTAGTGAATTCGACTTTGAGTCAGTCATTGGATTGAATGCTATTCTCCTATTTTGCATTTAAGTAGTCTCGATTCTGTTATCACTAGTTACCATAATAAAAATTAGCTCAAAGGATGATAATTTATAGACAAATTTACACTTGACTATAAAGTCTTATTAAAATTATGCCATATTCATTCTTTTTTTAGTCACTAATAGCATAAAATGATTTGTGTCGACGTATAGAGGAAGATATTGCTTTGTATATTTGGTGTTTTTCATTATAGGATTGTGGAGATTGTTAGGTTTTCTTCAAAATCATGAATCGATCGATTTTAGATCACCATTAGGAACCTAGGATCACTGAACGGCCGTCCCCTACTAGTATGGGACTAATCAATAGTGCTCACTCACGATCTGTGCTATCAGGAATCGAACCCAGGACCTTCGGTCTCACGCGCAAACGCTTTTCTCAGTTAATTAATATTTTCATTGAAAAAACCTTTTTCTACTTCTATCTAATATTATCTTTCTTTTTATTTTTGTTTAGAACAAAACAAACATTTCATCATCAACATCCAGCTTACGTTTATTATATGTGACTCCAGAGAAATTAGCTAAAAGTAAATTACTACTAAATCGTTTAGAGATGGCTTATTCAATGAATCGATTAGCTTGTATAGCTATCGATGAAGTACATTGTGCTAGTCAATGGGGTCATGATTTTAGACCGGATTATAAATTTCTCCATGTAATACGACGTCAATTTCCAAATGTTCCTATTATTGGTTTAACTGCAACTGCATCCACTGAAATAATTGTCGATGTACAAAATATGTTAGGTCTTAATATGGATAAATGTTTAGTATTAAGAACTAGTTATAATCGTGAAAATTTAAATTATTATGTAAGTTCATTTGATTGGTTATTTTATCCTTTGCAATATTCATACTATTTCCTACAATCATTGATACTGTTACTGTTTATTCTTCATTTTATTAGATATTGATGTGAATTGTCACATTGATTGGTTAGGACATGTGATGAGTATGCCTAACCACCGATTGCTTCGTCGAGCTATGTTTCGTAGTGTAGGAGTAGGTTGGAAGAAAGCTAGGGGCGACCAGACCAAAAAATGGCAGAAATCCATGAAGTCATTGACGAGTGGACTGAGCCATGTCGGTAGGTGTCGACTACCTGGTTGGGGTCCGCGAGATGTTAGTGATCGATGGTTAGAGACCCTGAATGACATGACTCAAAGACGTTCGCACTGGCGCAGGTGGATTCATTCTTTGTGTTCTCTCAAATCCTAAACTTTTTAATTCTTCATCACTTTATCTTTATAAGTCTATTTCACTAGTTTCTACTTCTTGAATAATATCTAATCCTAACCTATCCGACTACTGATAATACCTCTACTACCTCTACTACTATTGGATTTGAATCGACAATTACATCTCTGTGCTAATGTGGTATGGCAACATGAACATATGTACGTACGTACGAACTTCTACATTGCTACTGATTGATTGATAACATAGTCCAGTGAAGTCCTACTGATTATTTGTTGACATGTGTTATGTATGCCCAACCTCCGACTGCCTTGACGTGTTATGTTTTGTGATGTTGGAGTAGTCTGGAAGAAAGGTAGGGGCAGCCAGAGCAGAACATGGCACAAATCAATGAAGTCTTTGACAACTGGACTGAACCAGGTTGATAGGTATCAACTAACTGGCTGGGTTGCGCGAGACGAAAGTAAACGGTAGTTAGAGACTTTGAACGACATGGCTCAAAATCGTTTGCAATGGCACAGGTGTGGAAACTTCTTGTGTTCTCTCAAATTCTAATCTTCTGAATCTCTCATCACCTCTATCTTTCTCTTTCTAAATTTATTTCACTGAATTATACTCCTCGAATCGTATCTTAGAATCCTAATCTTCTCCATTACTGTTAATACTGCTACTATCTCTACTTCTATGGGATTTGAGTTGATGATTCGATCTCTGTGTGCTAATGTGGTATGGCAAGCTGAACTTATCTACGTACGTACGAAGTTCTACGTTGTAACTGACGGACTGATAGATATAAAGCAAAACAGAGCAAACTACCATGTCATATACACTTCTCTTGAGTGGATAAATAGGTATATCGTTTTATGGTGTAAGTTAGATATCCATCGAGATGGTCTGCTAGAATCTCGTAACGATATTTTGATCTCATTTCAGGCAGATTATTCTCAAGTTACATTTGCGTCATCACGCTTTGCTGATGGTAAACAAAATATCTAATTGTGTAGACTTAATTCTTGTGGTACACGTCTTTACTTTCATGTCTTTTTTTCCGAGATTTTAAATAATTTTTCATAAAAAGATATCTAATGATGTGTTACGCCTGAACATAAACACATCAACTTGATATGCTTGAACTATTACGAGTTTACCTAGTTGGAAAACGAGAGCGAGGATCGATGATCCGGCGACACGACATGCTGTTCAAATCCGATTAACCCAACCCTCATTTTGAGTAAAAATAAGAAGACTTGATATGAAGTAGAACCTGTATTCTACAAGCACCCAGAAAGTACGAGGTCCGAATCCAGAAGAGAATCAGGATCCGGGACCGGGTCCTGGTCATAAAACGTTACAGATAATGCGTATTTATACATTTTGGTCGAATATGAAACAGTATCGAAGTCTTTGACATTGACAGTTAAGACGACCAATAGGAAGCAACATTTGAAGTGACACTGATAGTCAGGACAACCATTAAGAAACAAGATTGAAGCACGTGACATTGATATCTAGGACAACCATTAAATTGACCAGTAGGAATGAACCAACAGGAATTGACCAATAATTCTCTTAGGATATTGGATGAATATCCTAACATGATGATTATTTAAATTGCTTACTTAGCTGTATTGGTTTGTTGCTATCAAATTGTGACTCAATTTTTACACACCATCTCAAATCCTATTTCAGTTGTTCTAGTTTAAAGCTACATTTTACACTGATTACATAAGTATTTTTCACTGTTTGTTGTCTGTGTATTTGGTAGATGAATACGCTTATATTTGGTTTATTCACATAGGTTAAACCAGTCAGTGGATCTATAAAAGCATGTATTGGTAATTTATATGAATTAATCAACAAAAATTATACGAACCAATCAGGTAATTGTTGTGTTTCAATTTGTAATTTTTTATCAATGATAAATTGATAGTTATTTGTTTGTTTAAACTCAATGCTACTTCCTTACTTCATGTTTGCATCACATACCCACCATTGTGTTAAATTGTATTCTGCTAATTTAGACTGAATATTACTGTTTATTGCAACATATACCTGTCAGCGACAACATAGAACTTCCTACGTACGCATATAAGTTCAGCTTGCCATACCATATTAGCACAGAGACGCAATGGTCAGTTAAAATACTATAGTGGTAAGGGTAGTAGAAGTATCAGCGGTAATAAAGAAGATTAGGGTTCGAAGATATTGTTCAAGAAGTATAACTCAGTGAAATAAATTTAGAATGAAGAAAATAGAGGTGATGAGGAGTTGAGATTAAAATTTGGAAGGACACAAAGAATGAATGAACCTGTGGCATTACAAACAATTTTGGACCATGTCGTTCAAGGTCTCACTGACCCCAACCAGATAGTCCATACCTACCAACACGACTCGGTCCACTTGTCAGTGGCTTCATTGATTTGTGCCTTGTTTCGGTCTGGCCTCACATAGCCTTCTACCAACCCCACTCCTACACTAAAAGTATCGCTTGTCTAGGCAGTCAGTGGTTTTGCATACGTAACATATGTCCAGACCATCTCAACTGATGAAGAATATTCAGTACTTCATCAATTGATTTTCCATCCTTACCTAGTACCCTTTTCCATTCTCAACCAAAATCTATCCATTCCATCGAAGCTGTTAACTTAATCTGAAATGATTTCTGATAGTTTTTTTTCCATTTTGTTCTTCTCTTTCTAGGCATTGTGTATTGTTTTTCTCAAAAAGATACTGAAGATGTTTCTTCAGAGTTAAACAACTTTGGATTAAAGACAGCTCCATATCATGCTAATTTAGATTTTAATTATCGATCCAGAGTTCATTCTGATTGGATTTATGGAAAAATTCAAGTAATTTCATATTGAATGCATTAATCATTATATTTTATTAATCGAAACTATTGAAAAATTTCTTAAGCATACTACTGTTTCTATAAATTCATAATAACTGAATATTATTAACTTTGCAAACAACTGGTGAGACAATTTACACTTTTAAATACTTTGGTGCAACAAAAGATTCTCGCTAGTAGACAAATTTGCAGCATCGGGGCTACCGGATACACGAAGAGTAAATCGGGCTGCCCCTTTACTTTGCTAAGGTGAAATCAAATTAATGATTTTACTAGGATCCTGTATTCGCGATTCCGAGACGCAGCATACATCGATTGAGCGAGATTCTAAAGTACTAGCTAGTGATGCCTGTTGCCCTATTTGACGCAATGTCCGTACATTAAACGCTCCAACATGTAGTTTAGTACGGGGTTTAAGGAAACCAGGAACGACGTTTCGAGAACTCGCATCGTTTGCATCAGTGGCGCAGTGAGCCGAAGGAATGCGACTAGAGTTAGTCGTAGAGATAAGAGAGATATTAAGGGGTGTAAAAAGGATTTGATTTTGACCAATTTGGTCTCGTGTGCTGTTACGGGTATGAGGGCGGTTGTCAGTTGCGGGCTATCCACACCGTGGAAGGTTGTTTCTTGAGGAACCTGAAAAGGAAGATAGATTAGCGTTGGTCTTAGAGTCCTGGGAGCGTAACCGCAGAGCCCAAGGGAAAACTGCTTGAGGCCGGTCACGCACGACCTTTTTATGAATGGTTTTTGGAGTATTAGCTCCGCCCTTAAAAGCCCTCAGTGGGCTCCCTTACCGACGGAGACGGAAATCCGTGAGGTAGGGTGAGGTGTGACATTTTTAGGGTCGACCTTTTCTAACCCTTCCTTCCTTGTCAGAAGGCAGCATCGCTGCAGAAGCTGGTTGTCCGAGGGAAAAACCTTACTGCTGTCACACCCCTCTGCAGTCAGCAGTACGACTTCGCCCTCAGACCTTGGGTAGCTGCTTTTAGTCTCATCTTTCTCCAATCGACCTGCCTGGCATGGTAGAACTTTTAGGAATATATGTTCCAGCCAGTATAACTCGGTTGGGTCATCACGATAAGCAAGCCCGACCACCATGTCCAAGGTAGCAGCTACGGTCGGGAGACGATAAAGATGAAGGTTATGAGGGATTTAGACTATAATTTCGGAGAGCATAAAGAATGAATGCACCTGCACCATCGCAAACAATTTTGGGCCATATCGTTCAAAGTCTCGTGGACCCCAACCAGGTAGTCTACACCTAATAACACGACTCAGTCCATTTGTCAATGACATCACGGATTTGTGCCATGTTTTGATCTGGCTGCCCCTAGCTTTCTTGTAGCCTACTGTTTACTCATTGATTGATCAATAACTAGATAAACACAATATCACAAGGCTAAACTGGTGCAGCCAGCAAATATAACTAGCTTATCGAATTATATGCTTACTCCCTCTTAACAATTTTCCAGAAGAAATTGAGGATCAAACGGAATAGTTCTTATCTTTTTTAATAAACACCTACGTGACCTACTAATATGTACATGTTTTTCTTTATGTCTTCCAGTTCGTGTATTTTTTTTCCTTATCGTTTACTTTCCTCTCTGTTTATCATTCTTTCCCAATATACATATATTTATAGGTAATTATTGCCACTGTAGCTTTTGGTATGGGTATTGACAAGGCGGATGTTCGTTTTGTAATACACTTTTCTTCAAGTAAAAGTTTAGAAAATTATTATCAAGAATCAGGTAGAGCTGGACGTGATTCAAATTCGGCCGATTGTATTTTAATGTGGCGTTTTTCCGATCTATTTCGTTTAGCTAGTATGGTATCATCTGAACGAACAGGAATCAGTAAACTTTATCAAATGATTGAATATTGTATTGATCCTGATAAATGTAGACGTTATTTAATTTCGAAAAATCTTGGTGATGCTTCTTGGTCGGTTGATGATTGTAAAAATGCTTGTGATAATTGTCAACGTAAAAGTTCAAGTAAATCAAATCTTTTTTCAAAGAATTCAAATTATCATATGATTTAATATATCTTTAATTACTGTTTTATAAAACTCAGTCAGTCAGATGCAACGTAGAACTTCATACGGAAGTACATTAGTTCATGTTGCCATACCACATCAGCACAAAGATGTAATTGTCAATTCAAATCCAATAGTAGAAGAGGTAGTAAAGGTCACGCTCCCAGGTCTCCAAGACCAACACTAATCTATCTTCCTTTACAGGTCCCTCAAGAAACAACCTTCCACGGTGTGGGCAGCCGGGAAGTGACAACCGCCCTCATACCCGTTTTATAAAACTATTCAGTGTCAAATATCGAATCTGAAATCATCAATCAATCATTGTTAGACCACCATTAGAAACCTGGAACAACTGGACGGCCGTTTCGTCCTGGTATGGTACTCGTCAGCAGTGCACATCCACGACTCCTGCTCCTCGCAGGATTCGAACCCGGGACGTTTGGCATTGTAGGCGAACGCCTTACCATCGGACAACTGGGCCGGTATCCAACGGTGTTAACGTCTAACTCTGATTGATTTAGGGATTTTGCGCGACCTCACCCATTTGTCTTTGGTAGTTACTGCCTACACACGACAGGGTTGAACTCCATTGGTCACGTCCTCTGATGAGTCCCATACCAGGACGAAACGGCCGTCCAGTGCTTCCAGGTTTCTAATGGGAGTCTAACAATGATTGATTGATGATTTCAAATGTTTAAAAAACGCAAACCTCCAAAACTCTGCCCCAAAATATCGAATCATTTGAGTAGGTTAAATTTTATTCTCAATAAGGTGATCGAGAACACCCTAATGACCAGTTGTTACACATGTATCGCGGTAACAACTTATCCTGGAAGATCAAAACTTTTCTGTAGTGGTGGATACAGTTCACAAGTGAACCATGTCGGAATGGGGTTTCAAAAGCAAAGTAGAAACATTTATGACGTAAACTTACAGTTTTCTGTGATAATCCCTCTCTATCCTTGTAAAATTTTTTACCGGAAGGATGTAATTATCATATGAGATCACATGAGTGATGTTTATTGCGTGTAACCAGATACAGCCTACCTGGATTTAAAATCCCAACTGATCCGGAGGTAGTTTGAACGAAAGCTTCGAACAGCGAAATCAAAACATGGCATCAGTCCTTGAAGTCATCGATTATTAAACTGAATCTTGTATGTAAGTGCTAACTATATATGTCTGAAGCCCGCACACTTTCGGTAACATTGGCGCTCTTCGTCTTAAGTATTGATTTCCGTAAATTAACTCTTCTCGGGTCGTATTGTCCATGACTACTTCTAATACGCCTACATTTGTTTAGCGAAATTCATCTCATTGTGCTGATATAGAGTGACGAATCGAATTGAATCAACCAATGAATGCACCAAGTCCTACCTAAGTTGCTTTTGACTGATTATTAGCTATTAAGCGTAGTGTTGTTGCATACTTTGCATTCATTTTTCGAATTATTATCTCTCATATTCAACTTCTCATTATAATCGGTCATCTTATTGATTACCTCTTTTATTGTACTTATCTTCAAGTTTAAGAATTGGAATCAAAATGTATTTACCTCAAGCTTTACATAGGTGATTTGATTTCTTTGTTCAACTTTTACACCTTTTTTTTCTATTATCTAGACGTATCCCGCTTAATTCAATTAAAAACCGCGGAACTATTCAATGCAACAAAACAAATACTATATGATCAAAGTTTAACAAAACAAGAACGAATAACTGGTCCTAAATTAATTGATCTTATGACTTGTAATAAACAAATACAATTGATTAGTCAAAAATTATTCAATCAACAAAATCAAACAAAACCAGAAAATCGTCAATTCTATGAAGATTTTATATCTTGGTGTTTAATTAAACAATATTTAAAATTAGATTTTCATTTTACACCATATTCAACAGTTTGTTATATTGTAATCAATGATCAATATTCCATTGGTGAGGATGATGATGAACACATTGAATTCATGCCGTATGCATTGACAATGAAAAAAGATTTCATGCAAAAGAATAAAATTATCAATGAGTGTTCTCATACAGACAATGATGTTAAACGAAAAAGAATACATTCAACTGAACTAGTTGATCTTACGTAATCGATTTTAATTGTTTGTGTTTTTTTATGTAACCATTGTATATGTCATGTGTATTTGTATAATAAGCATTTATTATCTGTGATGTTATGTATAAATATAGATGAATGTTTACTTACTTACTTAATTACTGACTGTTACTGCCTGTTACCGCCGCCAATAGAGCATAGGTTGTCGATCAGCATCCTCCAACTTACTCTGCACTGGACCTTCGATTCTAGTTCTGTCTAATTGTTGTTCATTCTTCTCATGTTTGTCTTCATTTCTCGGCGTGACGTATTTTTTGATCTTCCTCTTCTCTTTCGGCCTTGTCTTGTGACTTAGTTGAATAAGAACTTCTAATTGAGCCTAAAATATTGATTTTAATGAGAGTAATTCACTATGTTATGTGGCTATTGAATTATCTAGAGTGTGAAATGAAAACCAAAATGGTTAAATCCAAAGTTTCTCTGCTGCTATCTTAGAAAATCGACCGTGAAACAATTACACCAACAAGGAATCAATACGATATATACATTGTACGGCTCTAAACTATTATGATCAATTTTTTTCCTAACCGGCTTAATCGTAAATCCATAAAATCAAAAGGATTTTCTATTGGTAAAGTTTAAAAACACTATCCGTTGTAGGTTTCTGCAGTGTGATTTCTCTATTAAGGAATGAACCTATTAATATTAAAAGTTACAGCGATATTAGATGTGCGTAGTCCTGCAAGTTTTAGTTGAAAGAGATTGGAACAATTCCTATAAAAAAATTCGTCTTTTACTTCATTTGAGCTGCAATCAGTGGGAGTGTAGGGTGAGATAACGACTTATGTTCCTGTCCCTATTTCCCAACTTTGCGGCTTTTCCCGAAATTGTTTAAAAATTCGTAGTTTTCCCTTAGACTATGAGGAAATTTGAGAGATTTGATCTCATTTTCTAACCAAGTTTTCTCAAAATTGATAGAATCTTTCCCCAATGTTGGGGATCTTTCTGAGTTCCTACTATCTCGTTTTATATGACAGCATATAACTGACTTTCTATTGGAATCTAGTTCACTGAATCATGAATAAGTTTTATTTTACTTAAGCATGATAACTAGTACAAAGAAACACCTAGATATTATGCGCGACTCAAACCAATGGCTTTGTTTTGAGAATGTGACACTCTCCAAACCGGAACTGCTGGTTTTCTCAGAAAGTCACTCCTCGAACCTTTCCCCTACATGTCTGATCCACAAGGCAGTGGAGCAACGTTAGCAAATGAAGACCCATGGTGACCAGCAATAGGTTTGTATGCCATTTGTTCCTTCAGGATCTCGGATCCCATGTTCGCCATTGGTTTGCAACCAGAGTTTTCCAACTCTACTGGGTGATGATTCTCTGTACCCAACAATCGGGTCTGAGCACCGGAAGTTTGCTTTTCATCTCAATTCTGCAGACAACAGATCGTTGGAGAAGACAATGAATCTGACTTTCCAGACAATGGCTATATACGCGTGGTCGTATGAGAGTATATGGAGGTGAGCGGACTCTCCTCACTTTCAGCAGTACATGATTTATATACTAGTTGGTTTTTCAGAAATGGTATTATGTAAACTACTAGTATGGAGAATGAGTAATCTCATAAATTGTTTTCCTATTTGTATCCTTCTGGAAAATATATCTGGTATCTTGGCCTTAGTAATTTTTCTAATAAAACGATAGTTGTCTATTGAGAGATTTAGTGGTTGATACTGTATATATGATAAAGATTTATGAATAACTCTTGAACTGTACACATCTCACTGGAAGAAACATTTACATCTAGTAATTATGACTTGTTAATATTGTTTATAAGTTTAAATAGATCCAGGCCAACAATTAAAGCAGAATAATAAGAATTCATTGAATTTCATGGTTTCTCATCAGCTACTTACAACCGCATAAGAAATAAAGTGTAGCAATGATGGATGGTGGTTAGGACATGTGTTACGAATGCCCAACCACTAACTGCCTCGTCGAGCTATGTTTTGTGGTGTAGGAATAGGTTGGGTGAAAGTTGGGGGTGGCCAAACCAAAACATGGCACAAATCAATAAAGTCACTGACAAGTGGGCTGAGTCATGTTGGCAGATGTAGGCTATCTGGTTGGGGTCTGCGAGAAGAAAGTCACCGATTGTTAGAAACCTTGAATGACATGGCTCAAAATGATTTGCAATGGCATAGGTACATCCACTCTTTGTGCTCTCTCAAATCCTAATCTTCTGGATTCGTCAACACCTCTAGTTTTGTCTTTCTAAACTTATCCCACTGATTTATACTTCCTGAATAATATCTTCAAATCCTAATCTTCTCGATAACCAGTAATACTTTTACTTTCTCTACCACTGTGGCATTTGAGTTGACAATTGCGTCTCTGTGCTAATGTAGTGTGGCAACCTGAACTGATGTACTTACGTGCGAAGTTCTACCTTGTAACTGACTGACTGAATAATGGATGGTATAATGCAAAGTAATTGACATTGATAACAGAAGGGTTTAAGTTAGCAAACGTTAATATTAACAAAAGGAGAAATGAGACATTAATTAAATTGAGTTCGGAAACAGATATGATGAGTCGTGTGATGATTATCGAAATTATGAAAAGTTTATACAAGCCTTGGATCAATGTTCTTGACTTAGTAATTGAAATGTTGTTACTTAACAAGTAAGCAAAATTTGAAGGGATTTACATAGATTTCGAGAAACGACTGAATGAAAAGATGATTTTGGCGTACATAACATAAGAATTAGTTTAGTGAAGATTGCATG